AAAAAAATATATATATATATCAAATTGTATATGTGTAAATACAGACAATGGACTGTTAACTGCAGACTGACTAACAAATGACAGACCCGACCTCTCGTCAGAGAGGGCGCCCCCCAATGGACAGGACAGTAACTTTCATTCAAAAATGAAATATCTGGTCATGAGCCCCAGCTGGGGCTCGACACCAAGACATACAGACTGACTGACCGTCAGTTGTAACTGAAACTTGACTTGACTTGAATCTGATTGGTTAGCGCGCGTGATGGTGAAAAGCGATGCGAAGAGCGAGCGTTGCAGAAATGCGTGATAATGTGGGATGTTCCCACAGTGTTTTATAGGAGCTCTGCTACTTGCTTCTGCATGTACCTTTGTTTTCACTGAGTAAATTCTGAAGAAATTTGGTGTTGCAGATCACTAGCAAATGTGTTAACTATATTCAGTTTTTGATGTCTGAACAGTTATGATTACTGCTTTATTTCAAACCCCATTTTGGACATCAAAATATTGTGGCTTGCAGACTCATTGCTGTGCAAAGCCAGCGAGATAAGTAGATATACAACAGCCATTACTAAGCAATGGCTTCCCAAACAAGAGGGTTTCCATGGCAACAATTGGATACAGCAACACACGTCCATGCGGAGATGTTATAAGCATGACAGTTAGTGAAGTGATGTCAGGTGAGTTGATTTGGGTTAAGTTGGTTGGTTGGTGAGTGACTCAGTCAGTCAGTCAGTTCTAGAATTGCTGAGGTTCAGCCGTTGTTAGCTGTTGCTGTGAGGAGATTGTAGCTGAGGCTGGGGATAGTTCAGGAGCCCAGAGGAAGGGGAACATCTGCCGTTAGAAGCCGCTACCGAGCAGTGGCTAGTGAAGACATGACTGTGGACACTAGTGTGTGTGTGTGTGTAATAGTGAACTGTAAAATGTAGTCATGCACTGTATCCAGGAGTCCAATGAATCCAGTCATCAATTCAAAGCCTGTCTATAATCGCACTTTAAAACATGAACATATTTGTATTTCCATAATAATCTCAATGACCAAATTCCATTGTGATACATTTATATGCTCCTAATAGAGAACTGTTACGCATTCCTGTGAACCACCACTTGCGGTAAGAACTAAATATAGAATCTTAAAGGCACTTCCCTTTTCACCATGAGCAGAAAAGGGGGGAGGGGGGGATTTTGCTGACAAGTTTGTTTGTGCCACTATTGCCAGTCATTCGAAAATTATAACTTTGTGCTTTCTTCCTTATGACAGTGAAAGTTGGTTTCCTATATGAAGGGCAGAACGTAGTCTGAGAGAGCCTGAGAATGGGGTGATGAGGAGAATATTTGCACTTAAGATGAAGAAAGTAACAGGAAGCTGAAGAAAATTGCACAAAGTGGAGCTTCAAAATTTGTACATCTTACCACATATTAGTAAGAGCTGGGAAAGCTCAGTTGGTTTAGTGACAAGGCTGCAGGCTAGACTACCAGGGTTCGATTCACAGGGGGGGGGGGAGAAATTTTTCTTTTCTCCATAGCAGTCACACCATCTGTATGGTCCACCCAGCCTCCCATCCAGTGGGTACCAGAGCATGAAGCTGACTGCTGTCTTCCATGTAGTAGCAGTGTCAAGAATGGTGGAGCTCTACCTCCACTATTCCATATGCCTTCATATTATAGTGCGTAATTACATATTTAAGTACAGGACATAACTTTACCTTTGCCAGATATATAAGGATGACCAAGTCAAGAGGATTAGATTGACGGGCCATGCAGCACACGTGCGATAGAAGAGAAATGCTTACAAAATTCTGGTGGGAAAATGTGAAGGAAAGTATCACTTGGAAGTCTGAGACAAAGAAGGGATGATAATATTAAAATGGATTTTAAAAGAATAGGTTGTAGGATGTGGACTGGCTTTCTCTGACTCTAGATAGTGTCTTGTGGCAGCAGGCTGTTGTGGACATGTAAATGAACCTTTGGATTATGTACAATGCTAAGAATTTCTTGACAAGTTGAGCAGCTGTTGGCTTTGCAAGGGCTCTGCTCCAATTAGTTGGTTGCTAACCATTATGACTGTGATGGATCCAGGAGTCTCCATGCTGCTTCATAATGATAAAGCAATTGTATGAAAATTTCAAAGTTTAAGATTGAAACATTATTAAATTCTGAATACTTGTTACATATCGGACATTTTCTTTTGTTTATGATAGCCTACACCAACAGTGCTCATCATATCGTCCAGCTTGTTGCCTTGCAAAGCGTTGGATGTCATCACAGTTGCAGGATCCTTACAACTTACTGTACTGAAAGTCAAAACATGATGGGTTAATAAAATGGCTAGTCCTTACATGTCAATGCCAGCAGAATGTGTATCATGATGGTCAGTGAACTGACATCAGCATTTTCATCTAGTACTTATGATCATCTTATTACCAAGCTTCCTCACTTTTCTCCCCTGCCATAAGCACCCTCCTTTATCTATTTCCACTATACCTTATATACTGTGGGCACTGTTCCCAATACGTTCTTGGTATCCCCAGTGGGTTAGTTGATATCTTCTGGTTTGGAACTGAGAAGAATATTATTGTCCACACAAAGTATGGGTGGGGTTTGTGGGTGTTTTTGTATGTCTCTACATGGTACCATAACCAAGAGCACCGCAGTCTTCATGTTTAATATCTATCCCTATGAGTTTATCATATAGTACAGGGTGCATCAGAAAGGATGACTGGATTTCAAGCGACCGTTACGGCGCGATGGGGGAAGACATAGAATGGGGGGGGCCGACCGTTGGGTCAGCGTGAGAATGCAGTTTCAATTGGTAACATGGAGTGGTCAGGTGCACAGCATGTGTTTGTCGTAGGGACGTTTTTGAAAAATAGAGAGTCTGTGATCGCCACTCAACAAGCCTTCAGCACTCATTTTGGCTCAGACGTCGCGATATGATCCCTACTCGGAACACAATTTTGCGGTGAGTGGCTTCATTTTGTGCCACATGTTCAACCTAGGTTGAACCTAACGTCATCTCGCATCGCGGTGACATTCCTTGGCCCGCACGTTTGCACGATCTTGTGACCTGCGATTTCTTCCTTTGGGGCCATTTAAAAGAGGAAGTTTATAAACATCGACCACATACACTGGACGAGCTGAAGACCAGATATGACCTAGAGAGTGATGAATAACTTCAGAAAACGCCTCGACATCTCTACCAGAAGCCAAGGACGTCATATGGATGATATTATATTCCACTAATAAACTACATGTATTGGCGAATCTGATGGTAACAATAAAATTAGGATTTGATGAAGCCTTGCCAATTTTATTTCCCTGTGAAATCCAACCATTCTTTCTGACGCACCTGTACTTCATCAGTATTTTCCTTGAAGTGTGATGTAGGATTATTGGGTTGAAATTTTTAGATTAATTTTGAATTGAAGAGTAGTCATTCCCAATGCTTGGATGTACGAGTAACAGGTGGTGTTAAGTGAACTTTATATAAGAATTAAACACAAGCTGAAATTAAAAATTTGGAGTGAGGATGTTGACTGAATTCATTTGGCTTCTGTAAATGTAGCACTGATATTTTGGGCTGTATGGCTAGATGAGTGACCAACTTGTCAAGGAACTTATGTCATATCCTTGTGCACATGATCTGCAGAGACTTCTTCATACACGTTCTAGTTAGCATGAGAACAATAAATTGTGGCACAAAGTGATATACAATCTAACTATAATACCTCCTAGTATTCAAGTCATCCCCTATCCACACCATGTCAACTGACCAACTGGACAATGACAGAATTTGCAAACATTTTCACTGTTAAATATGCCAGAGTACATTTTGGGTTATTATCTGTAAAAGTGTTAATTCTGTGTATTGATAAAAATAATTTTAGTAATACCATGTGCACTTTGGTAGAAAGGGATACTGGGTGGGGATCCTTGGGAGAAGTCTGTGACAAGGATGTGAGTTTTATACAGCCGCACGCCATTTTGCGTAATACATGGTTTATTAAACAGCAGGGCACGGAGTTCTGAAAAATTATTAAAATATAATTGCATCCTCAATTCCGGCTGATGGGTTTTTCGTGAATTCGTGGGAACTTTTACCTTATTAGTCATGAGTACATTCTCTACTGCTTTCATGTATGACCCATGTATCCATAAGATAAACGCACGTAACTGCTACCATCTAGTGCCAAATGTAAGTGATTACAAAAACTGAGTTAATAGATTATAGATGGCGGGATGGTCCATAAGCGAGGTTCTCTAGCTCCTAATGTCTCAAAGGGGCGGCCGTGGCAGCGACCCGTGCGAAAGATGGCAGGATGTTTGGCACGGAGTTGCCCGTTTATTAAGGGACATTGCGGTATGTACACCCTGGGTGTAAATATTGTACATAATCATTTGCATGTGGTTACATATTCTTTTATTTAGAGTTGCATAGTGTGTTCTTCAATACCGACCAATGCGTACTAAAATCTGGGTAACTACATGGTACTCCGTGAATAAATTCGGGTATGGATGCGAAGGAAGGAAACCCGGTGAATGAAATAGACGTAGGTTATATTGTTATGACCTGTATATTTCTTTTCAGGGTACCTTGGCGTCCCAGCTGTGAATGGTATCAAGTTCCGTACGAACACAACCCAGCCCACGAAAGTAGGTGTACACAGTTTTGACGAGCAAGTAATTTGAGGGTCGTATAAATATTATTTTAATTATAATAGTACTTGAGGAGGTGTGACTTGAACTTGCTCAGGATAGGATCCAGTAGTGAGCTTTTGTGAACATGGTTGTGAACGACAGAATTCCTTAAAAGCTGGAAGTAACAACTTTCCAAGGAAGATCATTACCATAGAGTTTGTTGTTTTCTTTGTCAGGCTATGGGAATATTTGTGTGATATTTGTACATTGATGAAGTTACATTAGAAGTTACAGCCCCTGATAGAATATATGATGAAAAATGTGAATGAGTAGTTGTATGATTGGTCTTGTGTAGCTTTGAATCCTGGTCTTTCAAATATGAAATATATTTGTACAGGAAGAGTATCACAGAGCCTGTTCCAAATCGTTTAGCTGGTTCCCCCATGTGTTTGGGCATGTAGAGGCCATATGTCAATAAAGCACACACTAATTGGAAACAGATTACAGGAGATGCCAGAAATGCTTCCTGTTATGCACATATTCCTAGAACCCCCATGAAAAGCCCACATTCACTCACTGAAGTTAGTTTACACGTTAAACTTTAAACCCTGGTCTCCTGTACAAGACATGGAAGGGATTTTCAAGGGGGGCATTCAAGTTTAGCACTGATTTCTTCAGAATTATCTTCAGTTAACACTGTGGGGTTAGACTAGGCCATTTTTTATCCAGTAATACCGTATTTACGCATGTATAGGCTGCACATTTTTTGCCAGAAATTCAAGAGGAAAACTGGGGTGCGGCTTATATTCGAAATCACACTTCATTTAAAAAAAATATATTCATAATTAGTAATACAGGGTGTTCTCCTGAAATAATATTCCAAGAAAATTATTTTTTCTATAATTTCTGTCTGAAAATTGTGCTGCAGCCTATACATGCGTAAATATGGTAATCCTATGTCTCACAGTTTATTTAAGAGTATATGAATAGTTTTCTGTTTTGAGCTGTGACATCCTGAAATTTATTTTTGAATGTTTTCCATGGTTTTCACATGGGTATCATACATGAGTGCTTTTGTAATGTGTCAGTCATGCTTCATATTCTGACGTGCAACTAATTTAATGCTGAAAACAGAGGCTTTGGATTACAGTCGACAGGCACATTATAAGTGAACTTCCTTCACAGTAACTGTTCAAGGATTTAATGGGGCAATATAGAAGAGAAATTGTGGCATCTATAGGCTGTTGGCCATATCAAATCAAGGAAGGTGAGATGGACAATGCATTTAGCAGGTATGATAGAGAAGGAATGTATATAACATATAAGGAAATCTGAAGGAAGGAGGCCTCTAGAAGGCCTTGGATGTAGGTGGGAGGATAACGTTGCAATGGATCTTAGAGAAATAGGATGGGAGGATGCATACTCGATTTAATTGTCTCAGGTTAGGCACTAGTGGCAGGCTTCTGTGAGGAAGGTAACAAACATTCAGCTTCCTTAAAATGCTAAGAATTGCTTGAGTGGCTAAGCAGATGTTGGCTTCTCAAAAAGGTATAAAATCCGTGGAGGTACTTACAGATTAGTGGCTTGTCAGTCACGCCTTAAGTCTGGATGTATGCAGGCAAGGTAGACACAAGGAGCATGCATCTGTCCTTGTAGAGGGGCTGAATGATTGGCAGCAGGCTGTCTGGTAATTTTTCTCTGTTTTGCTTTCATGGTAAAGTTGGATAACTGTTCATTTTATATTAGTATTATGTTGTTATTGTGGGAGCTGGGATAGCATAATTGGTATAGCGACTGGGTATGGGCTGGATGACTTAGGGGTTGGAGTTCGAGTCCCAGTAGGGTAGGGTTCCCATTCATCCCGTTTTTCCCAGTACAGTCACGTTTTATTCCTATGTCACACAGGCCCAGATTTATTTCATATGTCCCGTTTAAGTCTTCTGTAACATTAATTTCTATCAATGAACGCTTGGTAACAGATGCTGTTCTCTGCAATTAGAATTTCTGTAATGATGTTAACACCCCTGGTGACTAATTCACAAATTATTAGTTTTTCTGTTTGCAGCAATATATCTTTTCTTCCATTTACGTCAGTAGTATTTTCATTTTGTTCCATAACGGAAGTTCCGTTTATGTCATTCTCTGCAGTCTTTGCCGACCGTTATGTTGTGCTGTGAGAGCCTGTGAGAATCGGTTTACGTCCATACAATGATGGCAAAACACAAGCGCAGTATTACTGACAGTATTAAGAGTGAATATCCATTTATTAGAGGTGTGAATGAGAATGCTGAATGCCATGCCATGTTTCTGAATTAATAATTTTGAGCTAATTTCTATATGTTTAAATTTCTCAATGTATAATACATAATGTATTGTCATGTGTATCCAGGGTAACGTGACTAATAATTTTTTATTCTAGAGATGATGATTAGGTTTATTTGATGTCACTATTACAATTACACTCGGTTATAACAGTTCACACACTCAGCTCCTTCTGGGTAATAAATCCCTCTGCATAGCTCTGCTTCATTCTCAAAAGCATGTTGATTCCCTGCTGACTCACATCTTCTTCTGACTTCACTGCTGAACTGATGGCTTCTCAACTGGTCTCCTTTTATCCTGCTAGGCAGCTGGGATAGGAATCACCTCTTTGAAGAGTTCTGTTTGTCATGTCCATGGTAATAGTCTGTTTAGAAATTGTTACCATGGATATGTCTTCAACAGTTCCATCAAAGCCCAGAGTAATGGTGCATTTTCTGTTACCACTGGAGCATGCCCGAGGAGCCCCACCCAGCAGAGGGCAGGTTGCAGCTTTCAGGCCACACATCACAATATTATTGTTTTTTGTTTTTATTAATTTCTATTGTGTCTGGTTTTTTATGGAAGAAAATGGAAATATCCCATTTTCTGGAGAAAATATGGGAACCCTAAGGTGGGGTCAAGAATTTTCTCTTCTCCACGTCATCCAGACCAGCTCTGGGGGCCCACCCAGCCTCTTACCCAATGGGTATGGAGGGCTCTTTCCCCAGCGGTTAGGCGGCAGAGGCATGAAGCTGACCACTCACCTCCATCTGGTGCCAAATGAAACAAAATATGGATCTGTACATTCACTCCGCCACACTCCTTCAGGGAGCAGTGCTTAATGAGTTACGCACAGCGGAAACTTTAACTTTTAACTTAAGTATGTTGTTATTTCTTGCATTTCAGGCCAAATTTGGGCCACTTCACGACGATGACCGTATATTCACAAATTTATATGGACGTCATGACTGGAGATTGAAAGGTGCTCTGAAGAGAGGTGATTGGTATAAGACCAAAGAGATCCTCCTTAAAGGATCAGATTGGATCATAAGTGAGTTTAAAAATGATGTGCAAGAGATCTAGAATTACCTAGTATTTTATTTGCCATATTTTTTGAATACTACATGCACATTTATTTTCAGAAAGGCAGAATGAAAAAGGAATTAATATTAATGCATCGAGGATTCTAATGAAATAATAGTATTGTATGCAAGGTAGCTGTTTTCAGTTATCTCATAGTCACTGCATTGCATTCTGATACAGCAAGTTTCTGTAATGTTCAAAGTATTTTCAACAATAGATGTTCTCTGTTTTATGGATATTTCCTATCTTTGACATCTAAGAGCATAAATATTGGTCTTAGGCTGAAGCCAAGATTCATCGTCTCTAAGAGAGGAGTATCAACAGCTGCCAGTTGTATGTGATGCCGTTGAGTATTTAGCAGTAGACATTGGTTCTGGTCTAGATGTGAACAGGGCATCTGCAGTAGTTACTAGCTACGTGGAACTGAAGGCCACACCATAGCTCAAGTGGTTAGTCACTGGCTTCCCACTGCGGCAGCCCAGGTTCAATCCCGGGTCTGGTCAAGTGGAATTTGTGGCGGAGAAAGTGGCGCTGGGGCAGGTTTTCTCCAAGCACTGTGGTTTCCCCTGCCAATCTTCATTCCACCAGTTGATCCACAATCACCCTCACCTATCATCTGGGGATGGTACAATAGGCCAGAAGTGGCCGCAGTACAAGGGACTTAGTCCCACCCCACTAGCAATAAAAAAAAATAGTATGTAAAATATACTTGCAATGTCTTAATGACATTTATGATATTTAATAACATTTCATAATATTAAAGTTACACTTTTAATGAAAAAATATATATTTTAGGCATCTTTTATATCATTGTTGCATTATTGATGATGTACTTGAATACTAAGAATGATACCTCAATACAACAGGATGCTGAAATATAATACCTGAATGATTCATGGCTAATTTTCGTTTACTGTACACAGAATGTTGGGTAGTTGAGAAGAAAGTTTGGTATTAAGATTGTAGTCTGTGTGAAATAAAATTTGCCAAATTCACTGCACATTAACCATATGAATTTCAGCTATAATTGTTACTGTAAGTGAACCTGGGCTGTTTATCTGCTGCTGCTTCTATGCCATCTGCACATGTCACTCTGAGTTGAAAAATTGTGGTCCAGCTGGAACACTTGCTATATCAATGCCTTCCTTATGCAGTAAAGGGTTTAACATACCTGTTCTGAAGGTTTTATATGCTGAAAGATTCAGCATACACATTGTGCATATGAGACATTTTTTTCATGTATGCATGCATGTGTAATGCACCCAGATATTATCAGTCTTATAATGTGAATGTACGTTATTCTCTTCCTCAGATGAAATCAAGACTTCAGGTCTTCGAGGTAGAGGAGGAGCAGGTTTTCCTTCAGGATTGAAATGGAGCTTCATGAATAAACCATCAGATGGCAGGTATGTAATTTATCTGAAGAGGAGTGTTGAAGAAAATGATTTGTTTATGTGTGAAGGTTCAATCAAAGCAGTTAAGGAATTGATTGATTTAGAAGTTGCTCTTCGCTTTGTATTTGTATCTTGCGCCCTGGAATTTTCTCCTTGGTAGCTTGTTAACAAGTCATAAAATAAGTCACTGAATGACAAGGTCATGGACAGAAACAGCTGTAAAATCCATTTGAGCTGTAAGCACCGTGTTGCTGTGCTACATACATGGACATGTAGGACTATCCAGGAATGAAGCAACTGGCAGGTCATGTAATAAGCCTAATATAAATGTGAATCAATCTCAGTTTTCATATGAACATTTGTGTTATTAGATATATTGACAGTGACAATTGGATAAGTGGGTTAGCTCATTGTAAACACAGGCATATGAATGGTATTGCTGAACTGTGGAGATCTTCCACTTAGTGCCACACATGAGGAGATGAATGTCGCAAATAGGCACCATTGTTCGGCCACAATTGTCTGCCACAAGAATCCCAACCTGTTGGTGTAATGTGTAATTTTCCTTTATTGAATCCAACATGTACTGGTGGTTGGTCTTAGTGAAGATCATCATAGACATAAGCTAGGTTCCAACATGCCAAAAATTATGTTATGCTGGATTTAATGATGTACCATATTTGAATGATAGCTGCTTTTATGAGAAATTGTAAATCTGCTGGTTGTTGTGTCAATATAATAAATAAAATTTATAGTCTCTGTGGTATGTATTACATTTGTATAATCTCTGATCCCTTACACACAGAAAGCTGTATATCAATTGCCAAACGTGAGTCTTCAGCCACTTCAGATAGAGGGTTCATTGTACTTCACATTTGCACAAACCACTGTGGTACTTTGAAACTCTCATTTAAGATTTCCAACACAAGCATTGGATTTGAATGTGAAACTGAGTAAAATCTTATATCGAGGAACATTAAATCAGGATTCCACTATATATTCTTATATTCAGTAAATGAATATGTTTTGTTCTTTTTTTTGTCTTTTGAGTCTTTTCTTCATGGCAGACATGTTTATTGTCATGAAAAATAATCTTTTCTCTAGGCCAAAGTATCTTGTAGTGAATGCAGATGAAGGTGAACCAGGAACATGTAAGGACAGAGAAATTATGCGCCATGACCCTCATAAATTAGTAGAGGGCTGCTTGGTAGCAGGGAGAGCCATGGGTGCTCAAGCAGCATACATTTATATCCGTGGAGAATTTTACAATGAGGCTTCAAACATGCAAGTTGCTATTTCTGAGGTAAGTTTCTCTTAGAACTACAGAAATAGCCTAAAAGCTAAAACATGTTGGGCAGAATGAGGTGTCATTGCAACAAATATTAGTGCAATAGGCTTTCAATTATCCATGATAAAGGGAGGAGAAAATTAACATGGATAGCTCAGAATTGTTGATAATCTGATAGTGTTACATAACTTCCCTGCCTCCCGTATGAGCATTCATGCACCCTCACACACACACACAGACACGGTATTGTGTTTGCGGTCATTCTCAGGCTACATACTGCCAGTTTTCAGAAAGTATTGTGTTCTCCTGAAACTGAGATAGCCCAGTCAGTACAATTACAGGCTATGGGCTGGATGATTGAGGTTCAGTTCCCAGCAGGGGTGGGGATTTTTCTCTTCTTCATGGTGTCCAGACTGGGTTACAACACCACATAGTCCATTGAAAGTCGACTGACGCTTTGGAGGAACATGTCGCCTCTGAAACATCAATTGACTTTCACCTGTCTCCATGGCATTACATGCCAGAAGATGAATTGTCATTTCCAGTCCTGTGTCTTGTATAGTCATGTGGTAACTAATTTGTTGATGTCTCATATAGTATCTTATTATATAAGCTTCAATATAACCATCCTCTTCCGTGTTTAAAAGTATAGTGCAGTGTTTTGTTAATAATTCAGTACTGTGAAAATTCATATAAAATAAGTTTTAAGTTATGACCAATTTAGTCAGGATGACTGAAGAACTGAAAATGTTACATAAGCAACTTTCATCCTGTATAGTTTTTTTCTCTCTCTTCCAGAACTGCTAATATCAAAGACGACCCATAAGGGGGTTTCTCATACTTCATGCAATCCTCCCTGATCTTTTGTAACTATACAATTTCTGTGTACTTAACAGCATAAGAAACATATCTATATAAAAGAGCTGTGCATTTAAATCTTCAAACACTTCAGTGTATCTTGTAGCTTCTTTCTGGACATAGGAGTCATGGAAGAATTAACGTGATTGTCATTGCCATCAGGCATACCAGGCTGGTCTCATTGGAAAGAATGCATGCGGATCGGGATATGACTTTGATGTGTTCATGCATCGTGGAGCTGGGGCTTACATCTGTGGAGAGGAAACAGCATTGATTGAGTCTATTGAGGGGAAACAAGGAAAGCCACGCCTCAAGCCTCCTTTCCCTGCTGATGTGGGAGTGTTTGGTTGTCCAACTACTGTTGCCAATGTGGAAACAGTGTCTGTAGCGCCAGTAAGTTTGCATACAGAATTTCATTGTTTCACTTTAACTTATAGACTCTTATTGCATTTCCTTATTAGTACATGTTTGTGTTTTTAATATCCATGTGGTTATATTTCCATTCCTGTTTTTTTGCAGAGCAGCTTGACTCAATTGGTAATGCTTCTTTTCTTGTATTTTGAAGGAACCTGGTTTAGATCTCAGCTGGGACACCAGTTGTCATGTCTTGGATTTTTCATGTTTCACCTCACTCCCTCCAGGCAAATGCCATGATAATATCTTTATTTAGAACACAGGTGCTTTCTTTCACATCATTTCCAATTCATTATCATCCACTTACTGACACTGTCATTGAATAAACTACGGACACAAAAATATATCAATAATTTCATGTACGGTATCATGAGTGACCCTGCAGAAACTTGGTGAAGAAGTTCCAGTGAGTTTTATGCCGTGGGTATATTGTTTTGCATTTAAAAATCATGTGTAAGGGGAAGGAGAGCTGGATGTATTCATCTCTTGTTTTTGGCACCATTTACAGCTGACAGATGGATGATCAGAAACCCTCAGGCTGGTCATAAGTAATTCTTACCAGTTGCTGTACCATGACTTCTGCAAACTCAAGTCTCTAATGGTTCCTTTGCTACTGCTTATATAAATTTTAAATGTAAATAAAGTTTGCATTGGTGGAGTTGAGGTTCTCACACTGATGAAGAGTAGTATCTCCTGGGATGGGCCCTCAAAATATCACTGAACTGTTACGGGACTACATGGCATTGTGTGTCAGAAGGCCTCCAACATTGTAATTTTCCTGTGCAGGTCCACTGTTGGAAGCCTTTCAGCACAACTTGTGATTTTCCCATTATGACTGTATGCTCTTTACATCTGATGACATCTTTTCTGGTAGTTCACATGGAGGAACAACATATGGCAGCAGTTTTATATTTCTCATATCAGAATATCATTACATTTTTGCACAAATTAATTTGTAGCTGGTAAGAGTAAGGCAGGAAATAAAAAGGATGAGACAGAGTGAAAGTATGGCTACAGGCAGGCAGTGTCTGGTGTTTATCAAGTCTCCTAGTTAGAAGCTGATCTCTACCTGCATGTAGTGTTGAGGCTAAGAATATGTAGAGATTATGTACTGTCTATATTTTCACAAAGTATTTGACATAGGTTATCCATTTTGTTCATATAAGCAATACTGGGATTTCTTCTTCCAGACCATCTGTCGCAGAGGTGGAAGCTGGTTTGTAAGTTTTGGTCGACCACGTAACTCTGGCACGAAACTGTTCAACATATCTGGTCATGTAGTCAATCCGTGTACAGTAGAGGAAGAAATGTCTATTCCACTGAAGGAGCTGATTGAACTTCATGCTGGTGGAGTGACTGGTGGTTGGGATAACTTGCTGGCAATTATTCCTGGAGGATCTTCCACACCCCTTATACCAAAACAGTAAGTTCACAAATATGAGGGTTATCCAGAAAGTAAGTCCCAATGTGCTATTTGAAAAAAAAAAAATATTTCCAAACAATTTATATTGCCATTTGATGTACATACTGTACACATGCCGCCTGTGATGCAAACTACGTGTTAATGGCTTCTTTAACCTTGTCAGGGAACTGCCAGCAACCAAGGAAAGTTTTCAGATGCAGGAACACGTGAAAATCACTTGGTGCTAAGTCTGGGCTGTAGGGGGGATGATTGAATTGTTCGCAGCCAAATGTCACAAAGAGATATGGCATTGCGGCGGCAGTGTGTGGGCGGGTATTATCATGAAGCATCACAACACCCCAACTAAGCATGCCACATTGCTTGTTCTAGATCGCACAACGCAGTATCTTAAGTGTGTTGCAGTAAACGTCCATGTTGATTGTTGAGCCTTGAGGCAAGAATTCCACAGGTAGAACACGTTTTCCATTCTAAAACACTGTGCACATGATTTTGTGAGTTTAAATGGTTTGACTTTTTTCTTTATTGGCAATGATGTGTGCCTCCACTCCATGGACTGCTTCTTTGATTTAGGAGTTACGTGGGGCACCAATGTCTTGTTCCCTGTGACTGTGTAGTTCAAGAAGTCATCACATTACTCACTGTATCGTGTCAGAAAGGTCAACATATTGGCCTGCCAATTCATTTTGTGTTCTTCTGTAAGCATCTTTGGCACCCAGCATGAACACAAGTTTATCAGACACAATTTCCTGAAGAAATGACCATGAAATTTGTTGACAAAGCAGAGAAAGTGACAAATGGTGAACTGTCTGTTCTCTTCAATCTTCTCTTCAACTGCACGCACCAAATCATCATTAAACACAGACGATCGGCTGCTCTGCAGATCATTGTGCACATTTTTGCGTCCTTCATTAAAGTGTCTCGCCCATCTTCATACCATTGAATCACGCATGGCATGTCCATACACCTCACAAAGTGGACATTGAATGTCAGGCGGTTTCATGTTTCTTGCATTCAAGAAACAGATTACAGACCTCATTTCCCAAGCAGCAGGCTTCTCTGGTTTCATGAACATTGTAAACACACAGGACAATGTGTAAACATGGTTTGATTGTCTGCAAATGGCATCTGTGCCTTCCCAAAGGATCAACAACTCTGCATGCATGCACACCATTGTGACCACAGTGCTGCAGTGGCAGTATTTGCAAACGGAACTTATTTGGTGGATACGCCTTGTGTTATCTGTCAGTCGTAATGTCTGAAACCTGTTGTGTAAATAGCATTTCGGGTGTAGAAGTGTCAGTATGGATGTAATTATAACAAGAGTTAAATAACTTGCAAATTCTCAAAAAAATTGGAAGATCATTGCTACACAGTTCCTGTCATGTGTACGTGGGTTGCAGGTTCTATTCCACCCTGTTCAAGTGTCACTTCTCAAAGGATAGGAAGCTTAAACATTTACATCTTCATGATGTAACCAATATTGATTTATTATTTTTCATAATGAACAGGCTTGTGGAAAAAATTGTGGACAGGTCTGAAGCTTGCCTGTACTGTAATTTATAATGAAATATGTTCCTGTATGTTGAGTATCCTTTGAAAATCATCAATTTAGAAGCCTGTCTGAGATATATGCAGTCTCTAAACTGTGATAAAGCATAGTACTGAAAAGTGTCCATAAGAACAGTCAGCTAGTGCTATATAGTCTTGATACTGAAAGTATCATTAAGCAAGGCACTTACAGTGACATCCCTGGTTATGTAGACGATATATATGAATGCAAAACTGAGAAAAGCATAAATGCATTAACTGTATCCTTAAGATAATCACTTGTAATCTTCCGTCTATAATGCAGCAATATTGATGTATATTTCGATGACACCAATAAGCATTTAATTCTCTAAAATTCTTGTTAAAAGTCATAAAACTATATATACATTTTGTGTTTATGTGTGACATGTTTTGGCCACACAGGGCCATCTTCAGGCAACACATTTTTAAGGAATTCACTACACTTTGCACTTTGTCAGTAGTACTCTTGAAGTACGTCATTATTATTATTATTAATTTGGATGTCTGTTTTTGCTCTTTTTTGTATTGTGGCCGCTCTATGCCCCTTTGGGTATGTCACTCTCTTGGTTGTGTGTATTTGTGTTGATTTGTGTTTCCTGTACTCCAATGCAGCAAGATGCCAAAATGTAATATTAGGATAATCAGGTTGGGATTATATAAATGAAGTAAAGTATGCAGGAAAATGCTTGCTTTCAATAAGTTTTGGGGAGTGGGGTCATAGTGTACCTGAGTATGTGCCACGTGTGCATATGCATAAGTATGCGCATACACGTGTTCTTTTCCACTCCTTCATCTGTTGATGTAACAAACAGTGGTACAAAAAGTACATATTTCAGATTTCTAACAAGGAATTTGAATTTGTCTTGTAATTTTATATGGTTAATGTACAGGTGCATCATTTATGGAAATAATTGCTGTCACGATGTAGGAAGCTTACATAAATATATTACCCCGCCTGTTTCTCAAATAAGGATAGTTTGTAGGATTTAAGGTTCTCACAGCACTGGTTGTGAAGAGTAATAGCTTCTGGGATATAATGCCGCATATTTTGTTGATAGTCGACTGGCATTTCGGAGGAACATATCACCTCCATCTTCAGGGTCGAAGAATGAGCCAAGCAAGCAGGGCTCTTGCCACCTGTTTTCTTGCTGGTTTTGTGCTTGTCTCATTCTTTGACCCCAAAGATGGAGGCAGTATATTCCACTGAAACATATGTTGACTCTTCGAGGACCGTTCGTTTCTATGAGATTTTGCTGTATGGAGTATGACACTCAAACCTGAATTTTGGATTTATATGTTTATATTTCTAGAAATGGACAATAAAACCTGGATTTGGTTTTCCTTAATTTAGTGAATTAATTAAATAGGGATTTCACTGTACGAGTAAGTACTTATTCATGTATCCATTATGGAAATAGTGTAAGGTCAAGCACTTTTCAGGTGTATGTTGTTTCTCTTTTGGTTCTAGTGTGTGTGAAGATGTGTTAATGGATTTTGATGGGCTTGTGGCTGCACAGACCAGTTTGGGCACAGCGGCTATTATAGTGATGAACAAGCAGACAGATGTTGTGAAGGGTATTGCAAGGCTTATTGAGTTTTACAAACATGAATCCTGTGGCCAGTGCACACCCTGTCGAGAAGGTATCTCATGGATGAATAAGATAATTCATCGCTTCATCACGGGTAATGCCCAGCCTGGTGAAATTGACATGCTGTGGGAATTAAGCAAACAGATAGAAGGCCATACTATCTGTGCATTAGGGGATGGTGCAGCTTGGCCAGTCCAGGTATAGTAATATAGTTGTTTTATACATCACTCATAAAAGAATGATATTTAGAAAGCATTTTTCTTGAAAACATGATAGTCAGCTGATCAGCAAGTTCTGTGGTTTTTATGGAACCTGCCTATGAACAATATGAAAACCTGAGACCTTTTGTGACATTTTTTAATGTGCTGTTTTTTTTACAATGGTAAACCCCCACCAATCACCAAGGTGCAGGATCACACTTTGCCTGGTGCATTAATGGGATTGGAAGGTGGCAGCAGTGGAAAGTATACTTGAGTCTGTATTGTAATGTCCACTTTTGCTGAAGAGAATTCCTCAAGATAGCAACACTGCATATTGNAAAAAAAAGACTTTCCAGAAATTATTGAGGTTAGGAATATTTTATAAATGTTCATTTTTAACAAATTCTCATCAAAATTTCAGTGGGCTTAATGCTACTTGTCATTTGTGTTTTTTAATAATTTAGTGAAATTATTGATGTCTTCTCTGTTCCCAACTTGTTCCTTGTTAAGGAACTGCTTCACCTGAGTCATTAGTTAAAACATAAGCGAATGTGGGTAAGATGTATCATATTTACCTGAATGCAGGGCGATTTTTCTTGTGACAGTGTGCTCAGAGAAACCAACAAGTAGGGCAGTAGGTTGTACGCATTCCATGCATCGTGGTTAATTAGGATGTGGAATAAGTCAGGATACATATAAACACAATAAGCAAATCTTTGAACATGCACAAGACATGGATAAATGTACATGGCTTTGTAGTATTAGTGCAATTTTAGATGTAGCCATATTAATCATAAAATTTGAATTATAGTATGAATATGTTTCTTGTATAGGGGTTAATTCGACATTTCCGGCCAGAACTGGAAGCTCGTATGAAAAAGTTCCATGAGGACACTGCTGTGGCAGCTCAGAATTGAACAAAAAGAGTTCCTTGATATATGCAAGGAAGTTTGCAGTTTGTGGTAGTCTGTTCATCTGCAATGCTTTCTTCACTCGTAGTTGGAGAATGCCTGTACATACCAAAGTACTTTTTAAGGAAAGGTACTTCATTTGAATATTTATTAGTAATGTATATAATTGGCAATAGTATCACTGTGTTTGTTTCCATTTTTCATTGTATTTTATTTTTCATCGTGTAAATGGAAGTCCAAAGGAGGTTTCTTGTTAAAGATGAATATTTAAATTTAGAGTAAAGGTAAAGGTGTCCCTGTGCTTAATTAATTGTGCACTATACCATTAAGACGGGGTGGAGTGCAGGTATAGCTCCACCATTCATGGCCTTTTCACTAAATGGATCAGAGTTTTAAGAGGCACACCAAATTAATTTCTTGGTTCCTTCCTGAATAAATGTCACAAATCTTTTTTTATTGTGCATTACTCTTTGTTTCATTTAATAAAATTTAATCTGTGTAACTAGAGTACTGTAGACATTCTCTACAAAAAATAGGTATTTATTTTCTGTTTTTATAATCCCTCAACCATAGTTGCACTGTTGTGGCATAACATGTATAATCATAGTTACTTCTCAAATGAAGTCTGAAAATATTGCTGATCATTAATAAGAGTTCTATTATTTATATTTCTGTAGCATCCAAAGTAGTCAAGATGATCATTTATTGGGTTAACGTTCTACAAACATACTACATGAAAAATGAACATTGTAAATATATAATTTCAAATTAAAAAAAAAACAGTCACCAAAATGAACTCTCAGAAGAGATATACTGTTATCCCCAGGATAATTTAATAGTGTATGATACAAAATACTTATTAATGTAATAAATAAGGAGTTATATATTCTTCTCTTTGCTCCAACCAACAGCAGATTATGAGCGTTCAAGAAACCCGTTCATCATGCTGCTAGTGAATGTGACTGGTTACAGGTGATTGTGTGTTTGTATTGACACACCAAAGGTCAACCATGAGCCATGCAACAGAACAGGCATATTACAGAAAATGGGAACATTGTGATGATTAAATGCCAGCATTCCAGTTGTGGAATCCATTCAAACAGGACCACCGATGCTGGCATTCAGGGACCCTGACAGGACTGTCAGTGCACAGTGCTGCTATGGAACCCTCCGAGGCCTTTGTATTGGTATCAAGAGGTAGTGTCCCAGTAGTGTCCATCTCCATGTGTCTTATTTTGTCTAGGACATGGTGTACTCCATGTTCTTGGAGGTGCTGAACCATGCCCCATACAGCCCAGACCTGTGACTGTGTGACTTACATCTGTTCAGCCCCCTCAGGAGAGCACTAAAGGGCTTATGGTGGCACAGCAGTTCCAGCAGCAGCTCAGGGGGTTCTTTGCCAAGCAGGCCCATTGGCTAGTGCACCAGTGGGATGCCTTCCATAGTACCCATGCTACCTGTTTTTAATGTCTTCTACACCTTCACAAGGGGCAATCCCTGAAAGGGTTTCATTTGAACAAGCCTCATAATAAATTAATGAAGACACAAACCCCAATATGCATGGCACACTCAAAAATACAGTATCTGTTAATGACCAGTTAATCGTGTTTATAATCTGATAACATTATGTTTCTGCATACTCAGTGACTGCAGGATTAAAATAATGCTGTTATTTTGACAGACTGCCAATAGCTGATGCCACAGCCAATAGAAAACGTTCAAAATCTGATATGAATGGGACAGGCCCCATCCTCACTTCCACATTCACACATAATGTTCCGTAATGAATAACAGGCTAAATGTATGTTAATATGCAGTGTGCAGAATTACATAGCAGCGCATCTGCCATCATAGATATGATATGGCACAATTATGAGTACACATAGTTGGACTGAAGCGAGCATTTCATTCTGTTCCTAGTAAAGGCCAGCACTTGTTTGATCTTCTGTAGACAGTAATCATAACTCTTCAAACTGACATTTTAGATATGATAGATTGGCTGAATTGGTTTAGTGTATGGAATGTCTTTGACTGCTTGAAAAATGGATGGATTCACATCTTACATGTATATCTCCATTTTTTTTTTGTCCTGTGTAGATAGAGGTCTTATAATAGGTTGATCCCCCATCCAAAGTAATGCCACTTCATTCTTACCCACACATAAACAAGAACCATGTGTGTCAGAAAAGAATTTCCCACACAATTCTCGATTGAAATATAATTATTTTCAGATACATGGCTCATTGAACTCTTGACCATGTTCTGACAATGATGTTCTAATGTACTGGGAAGAAGGAAACAGGTCTCCAAAGCAAGGAAGAGATGGAGCTGAAGATCAGAATAGGCTTATTGTACGTAATCCAACTGTAGACGACAATGTTATCGACACATTACTCAGTACCAGAGATTTGAGACAAGAGCATGTCAAGGCATGGTAGTTTGAGTTGCTTGTCACCAGAGTTACTTTCTCCAGCTTAACGTAACATCTACTGATGCTCATGTGAGCAGTTTGAATATATTATTCCAGTAATTCAATAACTGCTCTACCGATTTTCAGGTCTGGTATGGGCAGGATATTACAAGGCAAAGATGAAGACGCATTACTTTCCTAATGACTTACCGATGTGTCAGTATCTCTCTGTGGCCCTCTGCCTGGCTGCTTCAGTCATCAACCTGTTTGTTCACTTACACCACCAAGGAATATAAATTCTTGTGAGACATCTCACAGTACCTTCTATTATTCGTTGGTAGTGAAGTGAACAACCAGTATACCTAATCCGCTCAAAGTCAATGGTGCTCTTAATGGCAGCTGTGATATGCTGCTCCACTGAATTCAAGTGGGCAGCCTCTGTCATTATAGACTCCATTAGAGTTACAGCAGTACCAACAGTCACCACAAGCTTCTCAGAAGGATAGGTGAGAGACTGTTCTGTATCACTGCACTCCTGGAAATATATGAAGACAATGGCAGATAGCAGCACTTCAGATGTCAGGCATGTCTTGCATGCATCACAGCTGACACCGCGAAGCATCTGTGTGGCAATGGAACCACTGACATAAGCTACTGAGAACACTTCCATGTCACCAGCATGTACTGCAGCACTTATGTCCTTCTGTACTTGCTAGGCAACATGGAAACTTTCAGGCACACCAGCAGGGGTTTCCTTGCCATGACTTGTGGAAAGATTTCATGAAGCAGCATCAGGTTCCCTGAGGAACGATTGTAGGTTATCCAGAAGAGTAGCACCATCATCCTCACAATTAGTTTCACCCAGTCCTCTAAATGCAAGGCCATTGATGATGGTGGTCTTCAGGGCATCTACAAATTGTCCCACTGTTGGGTTATTGTTACAACCACAGTTCAAACAAATAGCCCCAAATATGTTCGCAAGGGGATCCTGATTCAGGTTTCGGGTGTCAAGGTACTTAGAACCCGCCTCTTTCAGTGTCCTCCACACATGCTGGGCAGCAGTGATGTTAATTACCCACCTATTCTGTAAAGGAGAAGGTTGAAGAAAGGCAGGTTTAGCATCCTTGAGGAAGATCCAACTACAGGTATTTATCCCCATACTTGCCTTCTTCCAGTGCGCTCTATATGGGGACTGTTATCATTGAGCGGCGCAGTGTTTTCTCAGGGTCAACAAACGCAGCTGTTGCCAGATATTCGCTGTGGCACCCTCTTGAAACTTGGGCCGTGCCATAGCGGTCAGTCACTGGCTTACCCACTCAGGCAGCCGGGTTTGATCAAGTGGGATTTGTGGTGGACAAAGTAGCATTGGGGCAGGTTTCCTCCGAGTACTTCGGTTTCCCCTGCCAATATACATTCCACCAATTGCTCCACAATCACCCTCACCTATCATCTGGGGCTGGTACAATAGGCCAGAAGTGGCCGCAGTACAAGAGACTTAGTCCCACCCCACTAGCAATAAAAAAAATAGTGAGCTTCCTTACATGATGGACTACCATATTTGTTCAGACTGGAAAATAACACACTTTGCAAAGGACTGCCATAAAAAAGAATTTGTGCATTTGATTACTTTATTCCTCATAGCAAAGTTTTTGCCACCTCTTTCTCTCATAAATCATATTACTGATAATGTGTTCTGCTTTTCAGATATTTTTAATTACCCTAAAAACATTAGTATTGTGACATATTCTATGTAACATGTGTACTGATATACAGTTTTGTAATAAATGACGAAAATGATGTTTGTTTGAGAACTGGGTTCTGAGGATAATAATTTTGAAAACTAGCCCTCATTATTCTCATTAGCCACTTCTTTCATAAGAGAACATAGTTAATAGCATACAGTGCAGTGGTCCTTACCTGCAGCCACACTATGGCTCATAACTTGAGCAGCCATGTTGACTTTCATTAATAACACTGCACTAGGGTTCAGGTGGGTGTCTGTCAGCCTGAACAACTGGCGAAACGGTCTGGGTTTGTCGAGTTCATACAGTTTCGATATGTGGTCCCACTTAGCAATAACAGGAAGTTGGTTGCCCAGATGCTCAGACTTCAACTGCACATCATACTTCCAGTGCCCAAGAAAAATGTATTCACCTGATTCTGTTTAAGTAATTCATGATGCGGTGTTTCTTACTTGTCAAAAGTGTTTTGCCATAACTGCATCAAATTAAAGAGTTCCACAGACTTCAGATAATGTTTATCATCATCTTGTGTAGTAAATACCCCCCCCCCCAAGGCTATGTTTGGTCAAAAAACCATTATAGTTGGCAGCTGCTTGCCAGTGATTAGTTTCAGAATTCATTGTGTACTGTTTTGTCAGTTGCTGCATTGCTACAAAGCTCCTTTTAATTTTTCTGTGATACTATTAATCAAGCTTTCGTGTTTTGTCCCCCGTCAGTGCCTGTGCAAGATTTTACAAGAGGAAATTCTAATAAGCTGAAAAAGACAGCCAAAGAAAACTAACATTTTTAATTAAATGAAAAAGAACTGAGAATAATTTAGTTCTTACCCTTTTTTTTCAGATGAAATTTGTGTTTTTCTTTATGCTAATTTTGCAATTTGATACATCTTTGGGATCATTGCAGCTTACTTGACAGACATTACAGGTTCATCAGTATTGCTGGCCATCAAATAGGATCAGATAAGGTTCTGGTATTCTGCTTTTATGCAAGTGGGATCATCTTTATATTAAAGATCCTCTTGGTCCACTACATTATAGGCAATAACAAAACTACTTGTACTGGCTTAACACAGATGTGTTGTGACCATATTCTCCGGATAGAATGCTTTCACTTCCCCTCCATCATTCAGAAGCTGACAAGTCATTTCAGCCATGGGCACAGGTATTTCCAAACAGTTGCATGCTTATGAATAATACAAAAGAGTTAGAAACACCCAAATTTGAGGAATCATCAGGTTTTTTCACATCTTGGGAGTTACAAAGGTATTCAGAATTAAACATGACCATGGTAGCTTTTTTCTTCAGAATCACTGGCTGAGAACAGGAATAGAACATGATTCAAACTATGACCAGCCATTGGTGTTGGTATTAACTTGGGGGAGCACAACTTCCACTTGCCCAAATCAACCATTCAGGACCATTATGTGCCTTAGTATTGCTGAAGCCCTTGGCCCACCTGATATCCATTAGCTCTATAACCATGCAGAGCTAAAGATCTCTGCTCTGTGCCTAACCAAAGCTGGGCATTGACAGACGTGTTTGAGGCCACCCCTCAACTAGTGGGATCACAAAGAATTCATCCTTTCATTGGGAAATTGCTACATTGGAGCAGAACAGTAGTAACAGTAAAGATAAGCAGCGGCACGCACACAGTGAGCCTACACAGAATAACACCTGTACAGTGCTGAAAACAAGAAGTAGCCGCTGCAGCACTATAGACCTGGGGCGAGTAACCCTGAGAATTTTAAATTTAAAATTTGGGAAAAAGAAGGAATTTTTAAAATTGGAACTGAGGATTTTAAAAGTGCCAGTTTGTGAGGGTCAAGATTGGCGTGTGTGGGTGGCAAAGATGGGGTATGAATCAGACAAATGTCAGCGCAGTAGATTTTGTTAGCAGTGATGAAGGGAACAATTGGGAAGACCTGTATGTTTTTAATTTTAAACTGGGTGCAGTGTAACAGCTACATGAGTGTATACACCTGATGATGGTAGTTTGCGGCTGAAACATGTAGTGTAGAAGAAAGCAAGACGAAAGACCTACAATATATTGTTGCACTTAGGACGGAGTTTATATCGTATAGAGTGCAACAGGATGCTTAAATATAATATAATGGAATGAATTGCAGCAAACAAATATTGTGTTATTATTTTTGTTAAATTATGTGCATTTTTTTAGTGTGTATGGGAGATAAATACTTGGTTCCAACAATTGCCCATGACATGATACAGTTAAATTTTTACATAACCATAGAGCATCTAACTAGCATAGAAAATTGCATATACTAGTTATAATTGACACTGGTAAGGAAGTTGGTCTAGAAATAAACACAGAGAAAACTAAGTATATGTTGCTGTATCTTCACCATAATGCAGGGCAAAATCATGGCATAAAGATAGGAAACAGATGGTTTGAAAGTGTGGCACATTTAAAATATTTAGGAAGGACTATAACAAATCAAAACTTGATTCAGGAGGAAGTTATCAGGAGACTGAATTTGGGTAATGTTTGCTACCATTCAGTCCAGAACCTTTTTGTCTTCTCATCTGCTGTCTAAAAACATATATAATATGTAATTTTTCCTCTGATTCTGTATGGGTTTGAAACTTGATCTCTAACATTAAGGAACATAGACTGAGGGTGTTTGAGAACAGGATGTTGAGGAGAATATTTGGACCGAAGAGAGACGAAGTGACAGGAGGTTGGAAAAAACTGCATAATGAGGAGCTTCATAACTTTTACTCTTCTCCAAGTATAATTAAAATGATCAAGTCAAGGAGGATGAGGTGTGCAGGGCATGTAGCACGAATGGGGAGAAGAGGAATGCATATAGGATACTGGTGGGAAATCCAGATGGAAAGAGACCAAGATGTGTGTGGACAATATTAAAATGGATCTTAAAGGATAGGATGGGATATGGATTGGATTTATCTGGCTCTGGTTTGGGACATAGGGAACAGTGGAGGGCTCTTGTGCGGTTTAGACCAAACCGCTACAAGATAGCGACATCAAACACAGAGCAGCCCCTATATACAAAAGCTAATATAAAAGACTCCAAATAACCTGTCAGGTGACATACAGAATAACAAGCATAGGCTCCATAAGATGATAGTAGGTCAAGACCACATGACCTAACTCATGTGAGAAGATCCCGATAGGCAGGCATCCCACCTCTTCTACCACCAGAAAATCATGTCAACACAAAGAGGCCACAAAGTTTTAAAGAGACTTCTCGCAAAATACTTCATTTCCATTGTAGTACAATTTTATTTTTTATGTTTTAATCTTTAGTCCATAGTTTTTTAATTTTTATCATCAGTGTACTTAAAATTTTAACCAAAAGACTCGATTTATGCATTCAAAAACTTAGTCTGGTATCATTGACGCCTGATGATGACAAAGTATAAGGGTCGAAACATGTAGCGTCAATAAAAAAAATGTTGATACAACAGTGTCTACTTTGTTTTAATTACAGAATACTGTTGTGTAGACCACATACTTTTGTATACATTTTATGTATGCTACTGAACCTTTGGGTTCCATAAAATGTTGGGAAGTTCTTGAGTAGCTGCACAATTGGCAGCTTCTCAAGAAGTGCTCAGCTCCACGAGTGAGTGACTAGTAAGAAGAAATAAAATAAAATTCATTTGTGTGCGCTATAAAGTATATGTAATGAAAATTACATACCCATATGTAGCTAACCTTTCTTGTTTTGAATCAGAATTTCACGTCTGAACGCTGCGCCTAACAGGTGAACTGCTGTAATGGGACAGTAGTCCTGAAAGTACTTAGTAGGAAACAGTAATATCCCCAGTGACCAGTTTGGTCGATAGAATGAGGTGACCTGTTTTAAGCTTACTTTCCTTATTTTGAAAAAAACAAAAAACAATAGGCTTATGCCATCACCATGCTGTGTGTGTGTGTGTATCCCCCCCCCCCAATTAACTTTTCAATGTCTGAACCAGTCTTTATGAAACTTGGCATGTATAACACCCGAGCATGCCTCAACGGGTGTGCTACATAAATACCTCCCATCAGTCTGTGTGTATCCCCCTATTTTGGAAAGGCAATATCTATGTAAAAAGATTCCCGTGGCAATGAATACATATGCAACAGAAGAAATGTTGGGCGCATAATTTTCTGTGATCCATACTGTATCAAAGGAGACAATTCTTCCAAGAATTTCTTGTTGGACATTAAAATCCAGACACTAGACACTAAAACGCTTCTTATACTGAAAATTGTGGTCCTTGGGGTATGATACATCACATCCCAGAAAAAAGTAATGTTAATATTCACCACTCGGAGAACCTAAACCCTCATTCTTATCCTGAGGCTTGTACTTTCTTATGCAGCCTGGGCACAGTGAAGCTGATCTGTCAATACTTGAAGGACATACTTCCTTAGTACACAGGGTGAATAGAATGCACATATTTCACAATGCAGTTTTACATAGCAAAATCAAAATTATAAAATATTCTTAATATTTATACATTTCTTTCTGTTAGTGTGAAACGAGTACTGTACTGGATAAAGTTGCTTATATGTACAAGTCAGATATGAGGAATGAGTAGTATTGTTATGAGTGAATTCAGTGAAGCTTGTCTCGTAACTAGTGACGTGTTTACATACCAGCATATTGTAGTGGGTTTAGCCTACTGAAGATGCCGTTCAGATTGTTAATTGGTTTTATTAACAACCTACAAGTTGTAACTATAATTGATTATAACACTGTTGCGGGTTTACACGATTTACAAACCCTACACACTAATCTCTTCACGCTATCTTCAGTAGTCTTCACTTATTTATAGTATAACATGGGAGCTGTAAAAGTGTCACTGAATTACACAATGCCTTCTCAGTTATCACCACTATCACTAATTATCACACGTAAGATCTTCTAATCATGCGATCAGTTCTTCCCGCACCTGCTTTGATGGACTGACTTCTGTCCTACCGAATACTGTCAATACTAACACCGTCTTCAGCGGCTGCTACATTTCAACTGAACTGCCTAGTGCATTGAACCCTCTTACATAAGCCTCTCACAGACCACACAGCAAACAGCCTATATTGTTGAACGTCTTTACCAACTGATTGCCTAGCAACGGTTGCTGCACGAACTCCCTTGTTGTGTGGTGTCACAGCCTAGTGGGGAGGGGTGTTCCCCAAGGGTTGTGTAGTGAGGGAGGGGATGAGTGGTTATGTGGTGTCACTCGCACTTTCCATTGCGCTATACAAGCGTTCACAGAGTTGTCGCTTATAAACGCGCCGATTCAATCCGCAACTCTCCGATGCGCACATGCCCCGAGGCCTCTGTGGCTCAACAGTTCCTGCATAGAGTAAATACTAGGTGGTTCAAATATGACCGGGACTGGTTCAAAAAAAAACATAATTGCCAAACACTTACTTGCACGTCAGTCTTCAACGTACTCCCCTCCGGAGTCAACACATTTTTTCCAACTTTCTGGAAGCATCCTGATGCCCCCCCCCCAAAAGAAGACTTGTGGTTGGCAGCGTATCCACTCCCGAACAGTCTGGATGACAGCGGCGTCGTCCACAAACCACATGCCTTGCAAGTCTGATTTGAGCCTTCCAAACAGGTAGAAATCACTTGGGGCCAAATCAGGACTGTACGGCGGATGTGTCAGAAGGTCCCATTTCAATTTCCGAAGGGTTTCCATTGTTGTTTTGGTTGTATGGGGGCGTCCATTGTCTTGAAGGAAGGCTACCCGCTTTACACCTGTCTTCCGCTTGGATAGGATCTTACTCCAAGTTCTTGATAGTGATGCGCCTATTCTCACGAATAAGCACGTCTCCACGATCAATGTTCGGCTCGGTGATGGATGTTCGCGGCCAACGATCATGCGGTTCATTCTCCATGCGCTCTCTGCCCTCTCTGAAGCACTTACACCACTCAAACACACAGGTCCATGAAAGACACTCTTCCCCATACTGTTGTTGGAGTCTGTGGTGAATTTCAGTGGACTGGAAGTTTTCTCCGAGGAATTTGATCAGAATGCATTGTTCCACACTCCGCGGCACCTTCTGTTCTCTCATCACTCTAGCAACTTCCAGACAGGACTGAACAGGTTCTAACCCTAACAGGAGGGAGGGTGGAGGTTGTGGCTTCACTCTCGCAAGGTCGCACAGCTGCTGCGCAGTGCAGCTTGTTTACAAAAAAAATCAGTCCCGGTCATATCTGAATCACCTTGTATGTCACAATATTAAGGGGAATGGAGATAAAGCTCCACACATGCTCACCTTCACTCTAGATGGAGGTTGTTGAGCAGGTTTTAGATGCCATAAAGTTTACTCTGGAGTCTGAGCCATTCAAAAGGTGGTGATTAGTAAGGGAGAAAGTTACAGTTCCCCTACAGGAATTAATGTGAACCATCTAGCCCATACGCCTTGTGTTCCCAACCAAATTAAAAGAAATCATGAAAAATGGTATAGTATCCTTAGTCAAGCGATGGGACTGTCTTATACTTGTGTGCATACAGCACAGTTTTCAATTAATCTTGAAAAGATGCAATGCATTCACATAATTAATTGGCTAGTTCAGCCTCAAAGGACACTTTGCTGATGTGATTTTCTTGTTGTTGTTTTGTGTTTAATTAAGAAATGCCTTTTAGAAAGCACGTTCATTTTATTATATTGTTGTGAACAGAACAGAACATTTTAAAATAAAAATGCCCTCTTAGCTTCGGTGGTACATTCTTCAGTTATATTATATACCTTCCTGTTAACAAAAAAAATTTCCGATTGATCTGAACAATTTATTGGAATTATTTTTTAATATTTACCAGACACTAACAAGAAATGCTATTTACACAGAAACTATGATTCACATACATCAGTTCAAATAGAAACAATGACATCACTCCTGAGGGCTTTACATGCTTCACTTATGGAGATTACATGGAACTTTTCTAAACCATGGCTATTAACAGACCAGAATTCCATGAGAATAGAAAATGCACATAACACCAGGACTTATTTATATAAATTCGAATTTCCATTTAACATTTAACACACTTGAACAGAAGAATTATTTTCATTCACTTGCCTCATATTCAACAGTTCAAGACCTTTGGTGCAATGTATATACACCATTCTTAAATTTTGTTTCAAAATAATTCATAGAACTAAAACTGCATGTACTCAGTCTTCAATTGATATATCTATTATGATCTAGTCATCAGATTTGGGGCTGTTACATATGTCCTTATTTACTGGTACACCTCCAATTTATTTTCAATTTAGCTCCAATTTCTGAATGCATCATCATCCAAAAATCACAAGTACAATAACACTTTTGAACACAGCAATCACACACATAAAATGCCTTCTGGAAGATTCAATAATAAATTTAGTGGATGCCAGTAACCTTGCATGTGGCATATTGGCTACTGTGAGATCTTGCGTCAATTTGTCCCTTGACCGTACACTGCAATCACCCAGACAGAAGACCATCTGCAATGTCTGTCACACCACAAGAAGTTTATCTGGGCTTTACCACAGTAAGGTCAACGAGCAGAAGACTGCTGCATAGGCATGCTATCTTACTGGCATTCAATGAATGTGTGATGAAGGTAGTAATGTGAATGTAACAGAACATGCGATTGTAATCAAAGTGCTTGTAAGGTTTCTTGCTGCACTTTACAATGTTCTGACTTCAAAGTGCTACAATATTTCAGGCCATTACTTCCAAACGTCTATCAGTGGTAAAACTCAGCAGTGTCATTGATTTTACATGGAAGTGCTGGAGATGGTGTGCGTGGTCTTTGACTTAGAAATGCTACAACTGACACAGCGAGGTATGGAAGTTCTAAAGAATGTGGTCCAGGTATAATACACGAGTGCTTTCGGCTGAAGTGTTATGAAGATGGTTCATTTGTGATGTGTTCTACTGAATGACTAACAGTGGAAGAACTTCAGGTGTAATAATATTGATGGAAGCTTAGTACTGCCAACAGACCACTACATTTCTTGATATGATAATACTGCAGCTTGTCCCAGGCAGTCCACATCCCGACTTAGAAGTACATCTCACGAGCCTGTTTTAATTAAGAAGTGCTGCAAAATTTTTTTCTGATGAACAACTCATTTAGCCTGACACGTACGTGTGTTGTGTGTGTGTGTGTTAAGGGGTGGGCCATACAATCCGGCCCTTGCACTGCGACCTTCAATGATCTATTGTGCGTTAGCCTGACACTTGGGTACTATCTGATCTCCACGCAAAGTTGTTTCAAACGGTTCCTCACGGGTGAGCCATGGATGGAGCAGTACATCAGCTGCTACTAGACGTTCACTGGGCTCTCGTCGAAGCAAGCTACGGATCAAGCACTTGGCTCGTGAAGATAGACAGTCAGGAATGATAAAATTACCCCTGGTGATCTTGGCAAAGAGGCTAGCATGTTCAGTATCACTAAACGGATACCTGTAAAAGAAATGTAAACAGTCATTTTCTCTGTTATCATCAGAGAGCAAAAATATTAATTAAATGTTATAAAAAAAGGTGAAAAATAAGTAATTATTATTTTCCTAATGATTCCATTGACCTCACCTTCCAACAAGCATTGTGTAAAGTATAATTCCTAAACTCCACATGTCAGCAGCACGTCCCGAGTACGGGGCATGACTTCGAAGGATCTCTGGACTCACATATGCAGGGCAGCCATGCTTATCATGGAGAAGGTCATCATTTGGATTTCCCAGAACAACAGTATCCTCTAGAGTCTCCAACTTTAAATGGGTCCTACAACAGTAAACATTAAAATGTGTTTAAAATGGTCCTTCAAAGACAGGAAAAGTATGTGTACTGAAAAGACACTGGAGTGTTATTACAAATGAACACTAGTGGAGGCATAAATTTGTGAGGCATGATTATGGAGCTGGAATTCAGGGTGAGCAATGACATCATCTTACATACGCACTGCTTTGCAACATCCGCATGTGCTAACCAGAGATTGCATATGGAAACTGAAACAGTCTATTACAAGGTTCACATTTCTACATGTTTGGCAGTCAGTACCGGAAAAGAGATAATTTAATAAACATTTCACTAGGAGGATGGAAATAGTTAATGCGTCCCAACTGTAAGCATTGGGCTGATGTGCTAACAATTGCTTAAGGCGTTCACACTACGATGACATTATGTAAATCGGTTTGTGTCAGTATGTTTAGCGCCTCACTGAATAAACAGTGGTTAAAAAAAATTTGCGAATGTAGTTTGTTGGTGTGGAACAGGAGAATGCGTACATTTGGGAATTACAATTCTCTTCTGCTAACAGCAGAAAGATTACGGATTCAAAAAATAATATAAAACGAAAAAACTGCATTGCATTTCACGGTGCTACCGAACATGCTCACTCGTACTGAGAAGGTGTTCGGTTCGAGTCTCGGTTGAGGCATCAGCTATCCAAACTGTTGGTTTTCATAGTTTCACTTAGTCCATCCAGGCAATTGCTGGGAAAGTACCTTGATTATTCCACGACCGCTTCCTTCGAAATACTTCCCAATTCATCATTCGTTATCCTATCATCCGACGCTACTCGTATACAGTCTCGATACTGAGAAGGCAGATAAGAAACGTACAAAAAGAATTTCGCGGTAGTTTTCTTGTTATCGATCTGGGTGATGAATCTGATATCACATTTTTGTTAAAAATTATAATTCTTGTTTTAGCGTTCACAGAATCCTGTTTGTGTACACGCTGTTCTTCTAACAATAAACGCTCGCTCTGTTTCTAGCGAAACTTTTTCTGATGAACATCTAACCCTTCCCGCCGCGGCGGCCCGGGTTCGACCCCGGGTCTGGTCAAGTGGCATTTGTAGTGGACAAAGTTGTGCTGGGGCAGGTTTTCTCAGAGTACCTCGGTTTCCCCTGCCAATCTTCATTCCACCAGTTGCTCCACAGTCACCCTCACCTATCATCTGGGGCCGGTACAATAGGCCAGAAGTGGCCGCAGTACAAGGGACTTAGTCCCACCCCACTAGCAATAAAAAAACATCTACTCCTTTTAAAGTCGAGTGATTAATTTATGCCACTTTCTTAAATGTACCAGACCTCTGCATTCTGCCCACACAGTGTGTGTTTCATATTGTCCTCACAACAAACAGCGATTGTTTCCCTAAGCAACATTAACCGGCTGGTCTTCGTAGTGGAAACGTGATGTTTCCTGTGAGGTACAAGCTCCATATTTATATATTCATTCGAGGAAATTTCGTCTTTAAAGGGTTAAAACGGCATTTCACTTCGAGGTTGGCTACATTAAGATCTTACTGTTGTTGAAGTAGAAGAGATGTTGATTACGAGACAAGACGTCAAGTTTTTATTCTTTCATCGCCAAATCGCGCTCTTCCAACCTTTTTCAGGAAAGGAAACTCATTTCATGTCACCGTTGAAATTTCTGAAAGGGTGGAGTTAACCCTCTATGACATCACTTAACATGACTCTGGTTTTAAACATGCGTTTATTTAAAACACTATCGCTTACCACTATCAAAATAATACAACTACCGTAAATGTATATAAAATTCTGTTTCCTTACGTTGCAGGGACTGAAACAGGACACGCCCCTCTCATGTAAGGCATTCCATGTGTGACATCCACATCACGTCTTTACTGCCAAAGGTAAGACCTTGCATAAGCAAGCCTTTAGAGATAAAAGAATGTTACACCATTTAGTCAAGTAATGTTGCCAGTAATATTCTAAGGTAGGAAGGGTTAAATCGAAAAGAATGCTCTCTTTTCAACATAAATATTGGGAAACAGGCAGGGTATCTATAGGATCCTATAGAACAATAAAAAACTCTCGAGAAGTGAGGTCTTTGCACTTTATCCTCCCTCCTCCCTCTTACTTTGCGCAAGGCGTTCTGGTAAGCGTTACTGCAACGGCATTACAGAGTAACAAGTACCAATTCACTGTCCAGGTATGGATGTATTGTACGAACAAGTAACAGATCCCCTTCCTTTTTCATTGATCTGTCGTAACCATGGCAGCAACTTGTTTCCTGCCACTGTCCTCGTCTCTTGCATGTTGCTCAACGCTCCATTCGGCTCAACATGACGTCAGCGCTACGACCCGTAGGCGGATCGACTTACAACATTTCTAACGCCATAGCTCATTGCTTCTTACTCTGGGTAAACTCGACCATATCAAGTCTTGTCGTTCCCTGATGCAGGCATCGATGTGGTTACGCGTTGTATAATGATTATTTTGTTTACTCCTCCCCCCCCCTTCCAGTTCTAGTCTCGAGGCTACATTTTTACGTAGTTGTTACACCCAAATAGAACTGACGCGATGCAATAGGAGATGCCAGGACTACCGTTCGTGACAAGCCCATTACTATATCTCTGAGCGCACGCGCGCAGTCTCCTTTAACGCCCCATTAGATCTGCTCGGTAGCATACCTACTGTACGTATTCCCAAGTCGTTTACTTTCAGCCTGTTTGTCTTTTTTTGCCACCTAGAGTAGAGCTTGTAACTTGATGCACACAGTTCCTATCCTCTTTAACTCCCAACTCAGCTTAATAATAAGAGTATATACATAATTTACAAAACTGCAGAAAACTATAACTGCCCGAATGGATGTGTCTTTTGTGTAATCACAACTCCAATTTGCAACTTGTTCACGTGACCAGTTCAGTAATGTGGGTAGGTATAAAATAGTACTTACAAGCAGAAATAGGTCCGTCGGTATAGCGACGGGCTACGGGATGGACGACCGAGATTCGATTCCCAACAGGGGCAAGAGATTTCTTTCTATTCCACAGCGTCCAGACCGGCTCTGGGGTCCACTCAGCCTCCTATACAGTGGGTACAGGGAACTCTTTCCCCAGAGGTAAAGCGGCCGGTGCGTGGAGCTGACCACTCGGCTCCATCCGGTGCAGAGGTCAAGCATGGCGGAGCTATACATACACTCCGCCATACGTCTTTGTGGAGTGGTGCTTAATTAATTAAATGCTGGGGGCAACTTTACCTTTTACCTGGCTTAATTATTTACTGGATTGGTGAATAAATTTATTAACCACTTACAAAAGATTATAACACTCGCTATTTCAGCACTTTATACAGTTCACTAGAGCATATAGTCTAGTGTTCTCAGTGTGTTACTAGAAGTTTCCTGGTAACGGCTTCAACAATGGCCATTCCTCTGCCTCCGGCTCAAGTCCTGAACTAAACTGACCTTGTCTCTTGCTTATAGCATTTTGGCACGGACTACGTAGAAAACACAGCTCTTCCACTGTTATAGTNACTCTTGTGAACAAGGTAATGAACCTTCGGGTTCCATAAAATGCTGGTAAGTTCTTGAGTAGCTGTACAATCGGCAGTTTCTCAAGAAGGGCTCAGCTCCATGAAGTTAGTTAGATGCATGGCCTGCAATACACATCGTGCGTCTTAAATATCAAATTATGTTCACCGATGAAACATATTTACAGACGTGCCATAATGCACCATCACTGCATTAGTAGTAATGAATTCCGACAGGTTATTCTAACTCGGAGGGGGGGGGGTGATGTTATGGTATTAAGAGAGGCATGAAAGTGAATCTGGAACGGGCCCCAAACCACTCTCTCGCACCTGTATAATTATAGGTGTAGTAAATTAATAAGGTGAGTCCCTTTGCTTAATTAAACACCACGCCATGAAGAAGGATTGACACAAGGTAGAGATGGCAGGAGCCGGTCGCGGTAGCCGAGCGCTCTAAGGCATGTACTGTCTTCGCTCGCTCGGAAGCCCGGATCGTGGGTTCGAATCCCACACAAGGCATGGGTGTTTGGTATGTGTGTATGTGTTTATTCTGTGTTTAGGCAGAGGCCTTGGGACGAGCTGATCACCCGTCCATGGCGTCGTACCGTCTGTAAAATGACCATGAAACTGAGAAATCAGCCTACGCTCCACATCGGGAGCGAGAGGAGATAAAGAAATGGGTGATAGGCTTTGGCGCAGCCGCTTTACCCTTTTGGGGAAATACTTCCGGTAAAAATGGGACAGGATGCTGAGTGGGCCCCAGAGCCGCTGTGGGGCGCCCCTGCTGAAAACTGAACCACGATTCCTGGGTCGTCACGCTCGTAGCCAAATAGCTACACCTACTGAACTATCCCGGGTACGGTACTGCACTATGGATCCACAAAGCGATTTGTGCAGTTTTTAGCCCATGACTTAGAAACACAGGAGGCAATGGACAATTAGCATTGCTTAGCTGGCAGCGGAAATGCTGTGGACCCAACAAGTATCGAACCCCGCAGAAAATATTTGTATGAATCATCAGTTTTCAGCTACACGTACTTCCTGCACTCTGACAGACAGGGTCGTGATTATGAAACCCCATGCAGATATGGCTAGTCGAGCAAAGTATCGTGTGAAATTTGGGTTTAGAAATTGCTTCAACTTCCCATGAAGAAATGTTAGTGTGCTGTTGGTAATGTTTAAATATTCCTATGCGCTGCTTGCACAGATTGCATGAAATGAACTCATACAACGGAAGTCGTGTTTCTCTGTTCGCTTTTTGCATCCCTAGAAGTACCTGATGAATTTCGATTATAAGTGGTGAGGAGTTTTGAAAGAATTATACTTCAGACGCAGCTCAAATTGATTCAATTAATTTTGCCAACGGAAAAGTAAACTGATCGTGTTTCAAAACACCGTTACGCGATTTAAAACGTGGACCACACTAAGATACACGCAAACTTTATTTGAATCCTTTTCTGCATGCTGTATGTACGCTCTCCAAACTGGAATACTGTTTTCCAT